GGTGACCAACTTTTGAAGTACATTGTCACAGGCACTGACTTTCCTTTTCATCTTCATCTTCTCTACTTGTGCTTTGAAGGTAAGTGTTCTGCCCAGTGTAGCCCCAAAGTACACAGGGTTCAGGTGATTAGTCAGTGGGATTCTATCCCAAGTTATGTTTAATTTCTGCCTGGCTTCTCTATGGTGCAAGTGAAAAGCTGTGACATGCATCTTGGTTTGGTTTCCCATGCTGCTGCCTTGCAGCACAGGGGAGGTGGGGTTTGACCCTGGGAGATCCAGAGGTCAAAAAAACCCATGCAGAAAAAAAGTGGAGTGACACACGTGGAGGCAGCATGCACTGCCCAAAGCCTGGCCAGCCAGAGCCATGTTTCAGCTGCTGGCCAGGCTCCCAGCTACAGGAGCAACATGGCTGCAGCTTCCCCAGCTCCCAGACCCTCAGGTAAGACTACTGGGGCCAGCAGTTATTGGCCCCAGCCTCCCCTACCCCACCTAAGATAACCTGCCATGCTCCAGAGCACACGTGGCATGGGCATTCTCTGGGGACAACTAGCAGCAGCACAAGATGTGCCATTGCTAATTGTCCCCCGGGAGCCAAACATCTGCGCTCATCTGAACACGGCCTATGAGTTGGTCATTGGTATATATGTTAAAAAGGATCCATGCTGGCTTGCATACTACCCTGTGAGAGGCTGTTTTGTTGTCATCTTCAGTGGCTCTGTTTCTTGCACAGTTCTACGTAAAAATGTCTATTCTCAAAAAACAGATCAGATAAGCTTCATTAGGTGGTACTCATGAGTCATACTGGAGACTTTGGCAAGCAGGTTTTGGTGCCTGACCATGTTGTGCGCCACTGATTGGGATGATAACAGATGCTGTGTTTGTAGACCTTTCTCAAATCCTTAATAGGCTGTAATGCAAGTTCCATAAAGAGAGCAGACTACCTACAGGAGACAGTGGTGAATTATTTATAAATTTTATAGAGAGACTGAAAGATGTTGTCAAGGGAACAGACAGAAAAACCATTCTGAATATTTCACACTGAAAATTTAAGTGCCATTGCATTGCCTGAAAACTTTCCAGTTAAACACGCTTCCTAATTAAGAGGTGCAGACTGAAATCCTGTTTGGCATCGCAGAACCTATAAAATAGGAACTAAAGAAAGGTGTAGCATCATAACATCAACTGCATTTTTTTACACCAGATTTATCTGAGATCTTGTTGCAAATAGAACCCTTAGACAAAGGGCTAGTCCAAGGCAATTTCTTTGTTGATAGAATAGAATATTAGAGCGCGTGTCTGTAAAAAACATAAAATAAAATGCCTATCTTTTTTGACTCTACAAGAGAAGTTTTTGGATCATGTGAAACTGCAAGGTTTTATTGCTGTGGGTGCTGGTGTGGAGACCTTATATACAAATAAAGACTAGGAGACAATGTTTGGGACCTTATTTTAGACAAAAAAAATATCTTTTGTTGTCTCCTTGTTTAACTTTCTCAGTTATGAGATCAGTTATAGATTCAGTTCCATGCAATCAACAGGTGGCATAATTCAGTATGTTCCATATAAATGAATAGTCCTCCAGTGTAATTGACAAAGAGTCGTAGAGTCTTTGAAATAGCTTTATATTTTTAACAGAGAATAAGAACAAAATTCAATCCACGCTTTGTATCAATAGGGTAAGGACTCGATCCTGAGAGGTAACTCCTCTTAGGCACCAGGGAACTGAAACTGTTTTGACTTTTCAGAGGCGTTCAGAACCTTGTCGAGTTTAGTTCCTATATTCACACAGACCAGATGCCCCCAATCCATGCAGTATAGACTACTTTGTTTTCAGAGAAAAAGATGTCGGAAAAAGTCATGGAAAAACCATCCATTAGCATTAGTTGTCTATGAACAAACCAGACTGTGCTCACATCCATTTAAAAAAATATGACCCAAAGCCAAAATACTTGATCTATGGCAACCCTCTTTTTTTCCTGTATAATTTGTTTGCTAGAAAACAAGGAAGGTGGAAATTTTACATCATGTTCTAAATGTGAAGCTTGAATGACAGGGTTGTACTTAATGGTCTTAAAATGTTAACATAAAAGACAGAGCATTACCTTTGCCTCACTATTAAGAAAGCAATTGCTATTTAAAATTGCTTTGAACTTCTATCGCTCTTTTCCTGTCCCCCGTGTCCCCAGTCAATTAAAATTGGTAATGTTTTATCTTTGTCTCTAAGTCATAATAATAACCTTCTTGCTGTGTGAGAGAGGTCAGTGGGAGCACTGCCGTTCGTTCTTCCCCTGACTCCTAGAACTACCAGAGATGGATGAGGTGGCAGTGTACGCACTCCTTGGCACCTGCAACAATTCTGTCCTCTCAGCACCAAACCAATTTTCCCTACCCTTCTTTGCTTCCCAAAGAGCACATCAGTCTGGAGCACATCAGCCACAAATGTCCTGAATTCACTCTGTGCCCTACTTGTTTCCAAGGGCGCTGCACCCACCCCCCATCGCATTCATGTTGCCTGATGGCTTTGTTTATGTACGAAGTTGCCACACAAGCACCAGCAGCTTTGCAGCCACTTTCTTTCTGTAATAGCTATGGCATTACAGCAATAGCCCCAGCATTGCAGCCATGCTCCCAGAGCGGGGCATCTACTTCCGGCCGCACCACCCTTCGGCTCCTCCACGGGAGCTCTGCCTTCCTGCCTCAAGGGGCGGAGGAGCCCGTGTGCCACCGCAGCGACAGCCCCGCAGCCCCTGTGGTGCAGTCCAGACTCAGGTGGCGGAGGGGAAAGCTATTCTGCACTCCCCCTCCACGCCACTGGTGGTACAGTCTGCTGGCTGGGCTGTTTTCCCGCCTTTTGGGAGAAGCATCACATTGGCTCCTCCTGAGGAGAGAAGGGGGAAAGTCTGAGACGAGAGGAGGGAGTGAGGTGAGCAGGGGCATTATTTTTTCCTGGGCACAGGCTCCCCATGCCCCACAGTCACAGACAGGTGGTGCAGAGCCAAGCAGTGTCCCCGGTGCCTACCCACCCTGCCAAAGAGGGACCAACCCTTGAGCCACTGGCCCTGCCAGAGCAGGAGATGCAGCCTGGGGATGAAGGCACCATGTCTCATTGGGGCACAATTTTGACTCTATTAATGGCAAAGGGTGTTTTTGGTAGCACGGGGCGGTCCCACATGAGCATCCCCAAGTTCCAGCACAAGGGAGGATCTAACCCACTTTCTGAGGCCGGGTCAGGTTGGTGTGTCTGCACCATGGCAGCAGTCTGCCCAGCCCTGAATAAGCCCTGCCCACAGCTCATGTACTCCTGTGCTGATGCTTATGGCACACCCCAAGGCAACCATTAGCACTGAGCAGGGGGCAGCAACATGCCTCAGTGTGGAGCTGGGGCCTGTATGCTCCATTGTGGGCAACTCCGGATAGAGTGAGTGGGCACCATAGCGCCTGCAAGGGCACTGTGGTCAAAACTTCCATGAGCAGACTGCATCTAAATCGTCAGATTTGGATGGCCCGCCACTTTGACACACTGCAGAGCACACTGCATGCCATCATGTGGCTTGCTGGAGATAAAGAGGGTTGCGTGCCACATTACAATATTCTTCAGTTGCTGTTGATGGCCACCGCACCTCAGTGATCCCTGCCCTGTTAACCATACGATGATTTCACAAATTAGGAGTAGGGAGGAGAAACACTGGAACTAATATTTGCTTCTTTTAAAATATTCCCAAGATAATTGCTACACATTATTTTTAACTTGGCACAAATGTGACATTTTATAGTTTAAAATATAGTAGAATTTAATTTTGTAAATTGACTTTGTGTCTTTATGCAACATTAAATAAGATACTAACCTTTTATATCCACACACAATATCCTTCCTTTCTTTTGTACTCTCACAATTGCCTATGAATAAATAATTAAAGCAAGATAAGAGCAAATGCCAGTGCCCACCTAATCAAAAGGAGAAACAGAAAAAAAAACAGTAAAGCTGTTACAATACAATATAAGAAGTAATATTCCTCTGATACACATTATTCTCTGGTTTTAGGTTGGTAGGCAGAACCAAAATGAAAAGAGTTATGTAGGAAGAAAAGACTGATGGTTTTCTTTTTAGATCTCATAACGTACTTTTACTGCCTTAATGGGATGAGACTGAATTGTTTGCCAGAATAGAGTAAAAGAAACTATTTAATTGTGTTTATAGTTGGAATATCTACATTTAAATGGCACTGTTTCTTCTTGTAGTGAAAAAGATAAGAATATCCAGGGTTCAAAATATGGATAGAAGGCTTACTGCAAATAATGTCATTAGAAAGGGACTATATATAACAAAAAGAGACTCATATGTCAATATGCAAGCTTTCTTTTTTGAATTATTTGGGAAAAAATAATATAATCATAATAATAAAACATCTTCTGAAAAGTATTTCTTTTTTTTAACTCTCAGTATTTCAGTTCAACAGAAGTCTATGGCACTCTTGACCTGGTACGGCAAAAAACTGAGCACCTTCTCTCTTTCAACAAAATATAAAGGCATTCAGCATCTTGCAAAGTTGGACAAATAGTAGCATAAAGTAGGCATATATAACAAGAATATGGGTCGTCAGTTCCCTGCCTTCCTACCCACTCAGAATTTGGAGTGTAAAACGTAAATGGAAAATTAAAGAAGTAACAAGAGAAATGGAAGAGATGCATGACCATAGTGAAGAGGAATTAAGATAAACAAATAGAAATGCATATTAAAAATAACTATATAGTACAGAGTATGGCATTCATAAGTGCCTCATCAACAAGTATACTTTGGAGGGACATAGATATTTATAAAACTACCTAGGCAGGAAGGTCTAATACTGTACAGATAAATTAAGAATCAGATTATGGAATAGGTCAGATTTTTTTGCTAATTTTTCAAATCACAATGTAATGTTCATAATTATGAGAAACCACAGATTATTGACATTGTTAATTAATTAATTTATTAAGAAGAAATGTTTGTTCAGTAAAGCTAAGCTATATTTCCTGTATACATTCTTGGACTGCCAGAAACTGAGCCTGGGCATCTTCCAGAAGTGTTGTAAGTTCTTCCTATTTGGGCAGGTGCTTAGCAGACAAAACTAAGTTGGGATATTGTTTAAGGGAGTGATTGCTATATAATTTTTTTAACACTTTATTAAGCTAAGTTATTTTGTTTCTCCTGTCCTGTTCTCTTGTTCATATGTTTTATAAACTATTTTACTCTCTTCTCTAAGCCACCCTGAGCCCTTGTCTGGAAGGGCAGCATATAAATCTGATAAATAAATACATGCATTAGCCATTTAATTATTTTGCATGAACAGTGAATGAATCCAAAAAATAGTTATGTATTAATTACAGAAAGTTAATTTCCTGATATCATATTTGTACTAATAGTAGCTAAATATATACAGATTTAGTTTACATTGCTAAGAGTATCTGTTGATTTAGGTAACAGGCATCACCTTTGTGCCACCTAAATATTTTTATGGTGGCCCAAAGGCCAAGCAAACAGATGTCTATACCCCTTGTTGCACCACAAATGCCCAAACTTATGTGGCCACAAAGTAGGTGGTATCAATATGTGTTACTTTATTGCATCAGATGTCTTTTACCTTTATGATGGGAGAGCGTGGTCAGCCCAAAACTGTCCACTTTCTCCAGATGCCCCGGGGCAGGTGTTCCTGGGGCTTGAGGGGCCTGATCCTGCATGCCCTGGGAATTCCTATGCAGGATCACGACCCTTAAACTGCAGGAGCACCTACGCAGCTTTCCCTGGTTACAGAAACACACCCCATTCAATCTCCTAGACATATCTCTATTAGTAGGGAGCTCCAACTTCTGCTTACAAAGATGTGCCCAGCATATTCCCCAGGGTACATTTCTACAAGTGGGGAAACACATTACCTATTGTTCCACAGCATTGGGCCCCTGCCTAATGCGGGACAAGAGGCAGCATGAGTTGCACCCAATGAAGCAGATTAGCTGTGCCAGGACACTTCCTACTGCAGTTCTTCCGCCTCACTTGGCAACATCTGTTTATACCTCTAATGACACAATTAATGTGTTAATCAAAAATAGTAATTTGCATCTACATTCCAGTTTAATTTTATCTTCAATATTTTTATCTATTCAGGCTTTTTTATAGTGTGCATTTCAAACTATGATCTTGCTATTTTGCCTCTTAGCATATCTAAAAAGTGAATACATAAACCAGCAGACAGCTAAAAGCTGAAGCTGTCCAGAATTAATTTGACATCAGGGTGCTCTGATTAAAGTAATAATACTGTTGTCTTGAATGGGAGCAAAGTTTGGCCAGCACTTTTAAAATTTGTACTTGCCTTTTGTTGTAAAACTATTATCTATGCATTAATGCAGGGCTTCCTGGCCTCAGTTCAAATAATTGTTCAAAAACTTTACATATAAAAGTCAATTTAAGCCTGAGTAATAGGTATGGCAGCAGAATGTGAACTTATAAAATATTTAGCTATATTTGGCATTAACTTACACACTGAAAAATCCTTCTGACTTCAATACCATCATATAGCTCTACAGAAATGTCAAATTATTGAGGTACCTGCCATTCAGCTTGAGAGTATTTTCTCAACCTTTCTGACATGTGAACATCATTAACACTACTAGTAATAATGATTTTTTTATTTTTTAAAAAGTGGTTCTCAGTTCCATGGGACGAATAAGATGTCTAGAAAAATAACTACAGTCCTTGTTGGCTTATTAATAATCATTTTACTTAGAATGTGTCTATTTCTATGGCAATTTACTTTAACATTCAAGATTATTTGATTTATATTCACATGCATGAAATCTGTGACAACGTGAACAAGGAAATAATTTAGCTCACCAAGTAGAAATTCTTAAATCAGTATTCCTTTTTATATAATGTTCTAGAAAAAATTAATCAGACCAGTGAAGCACATGTGAAGACAATGGTGAATCCTGACAAACTTTTAGATGACTTCTCACAGATAGAAAAGGTATGTGAGGAAAATAAATACAGTTGAAATCATATTTTTTTAAAATCTAGGGACTTGTTTTTAAGTGATTATTTTTCTGCTATAATGGTATCTGCAAATTCTTACTGCTTGTGTGATGTTTCTCTAGTGCTAGAGAATGTTGGGAACCTACTGGAAAGTTGTGTATTGTTAACCAAAGAAGTAACCTTACTCATCACTGAATATTTGAGGCCAAACTATAAAATGGATGCATTGCCCTTTGGGAAAGCAATGATGCAAAACTTCCTTAGTACTGGTATTCATTGTTAAATTGTGTTGTAATTAGTTAGGAACTGTTTGTTTGAGCCATTGTGCACTTTTGTCTAGCCTAGGGTCTTTGGAATTTTGAGTCATGAGTCCTTAGGTCCCAAAGATTCAGATAAGGATTGTTTTAAGTGCTGAGTTCATCTTGTCCATATTTCAGCAGGCAGATATCATTTCTGTTGTTCTGCTTGTTGAATCCGTGTTCTGCAGATTATTACTCAGTGGGCAGTGCTTACTGCATATTTATTTAGTACTTGATTATACAATTACTAAATTAAATATGCAGTAATGTCACTAAAAAGGTGTGCTCTGGTGCTACTTTGCAGCACTTCCAGTTACTGCACATTTATTTAGTACTTGATTATACAACCAGTAACCAGAAGTACTGCTCAGTAACTGGAAGTACTGCAAAGTAGCACCAGAGCACACCGTTTTAGTGACGTTACTGCACAGTAACATATTAACATTGTTCTGTGATGCACTACTGCACAGTTAGTGTCTCATGTAGACATGCCCTGACATGTAGTCAGATCATCATGCCTCAGACCCACAGGGAGGCAGCAGCAGAAGCAATGTGCCCTTATAAGTCTGTTCCCGGTAGCTTCCTCTGCTTCAACTCCAAAGCCAGACAAGTCAGGCAGCGTTTTCTCTAAGCTGTGTAGTATGTGTGGCCATGCAGGCACACTCATGCTGTGCTGCCAGGCCCACCTGCATGTCCACACACACTACACAGCTTAGAGGGAACACTGAAGTCAGGAACAACTCTTAGTCCAATGCCAGTGTTCATGGAAGTAAGGCCAGATTCCCAATAATTTTGTATTTAGAATACAGAGAGGCACCTAAAAATCTGACCCTAGAGCCTAATTCACCCATATCAAGCCATTACTGGTGCTGTGACTATCTGCTCAACAGAGTGAGGCTTCTGGTGCTGTCACCAATATTGGTGTATATGTTAGTTTCTCACCAGCTTCAGGACCTTTTCCAGCATCAGAAGAAACCTGATATTCACTGGTATGTCTACCAAAGCTCTCTTCAGTACCAAAAGAGCATTTTCCATTGGAACAGGACATGGGGACACCTCCTACCTGCAAGCATAGTCCATGGCTTTGAGGAAGTATGCCTATTCAGGGTGTTCCCACAAGTGGTTAATATGCAGAGGAAAACCTAAGTGGAGAGGGAGTTGGGGGATGTAATGACTTCCCATGAAAACTGTTTAAAAGTGTTTCCTTTATATATTTATGCTACTCACATACCTTCCCCCGTATCAAATTCCAGCAGTAGTTAATGGAAAGGGCTAGAACTGGCCCACAGACTTTTGGAATTCAGACACCAGAGGGTCAGCATACCCCTTTATAATGTTGACTTAGAATATTCATTCTGCAACAAAGGACATTTATACACGTACCTTTTTATCCTGCAATACATTGGAGATCTGCTGCTTTGGAGCAGACTCAATTAAATCGAGTCTTCTCCACATGTGAGCTGATGTACATTT